TTTAAAACATTTTTTGCATCTTGAGAGGTAAATGCATGGCTTTTCAAATTCCCTTCAAAATGCAAATAAATACATCGTCTAAATTACATACTCACTCGTGCATTTTCATTCACAAAGAGAGAAAGCAGACGAAGCATATTTGAATGCAGAGCCAGTCTCAGTTAGTCATCCTTTCATTATAAAAAGCTTTAATATTGGGTGTGTGCACCTCGTTTTAATGGGTCTCATCCTTTTGGGTGTGAGGACAAATGTCTGATGCACATTTTCCTTCAGACTCTCACAGCACTTCAAAACATTAACCAGTCCACTCCATTATATCCTCTGAGGTTGTTTTGTTCGTCTATACATGCAGTGCTTATTGTGCTAGGATTACTGCAGAATGCAACTGCTCTGCTTTAAGTTGCATTTAGTTTCTTGGTATCACATGATTCTTACGGCTAATAAACCATTCAAGTATGAGCCATGAAGATAACGCTGTCAGGAGGAGAGTAACCTCAATGGTGCTGTTTTCAGTTAAACACCATGCTTCGGTGGGCTGATGTGGGCTTCTTCATTCTCTTGTTTTAAATATAGCACTGGCTGTTATGTAACGCTCTGGAGGATGCCACTGGTGCAGGCATGATTAGTAGATTGTTGGGCACACCAAAACAATCGGTACTGGAGATCAACGCTTGACAGCCCTATTTACAGCAACTAATCATTCAGAAATATTTTCAGGTGATCACAGCGTTTAAGTATTATATTCCAGGTATGGCTTACGGAGCACCCAACACTTGTGTTTTTTGTTTTTTTTACTAAAGCACTGTAAACCGTGTTAAGGTTAGAGCAAAAATAAAAAGCTGTGGCGTGTGCAGACCAAAACAAAGTTTAAGTGCAAACAAGCAGTCAAAGGCCTTTCTAACAGCTTCTCCAATGTCAGAACAGCAGAAAATACACCAAAGTGCAACAAACAACCTGCTTTGATTGAGTACAGCTGACAAAATACTTGTTTATGTGCGGGTGTCCTGAAAAAACGGGACACACATAAGAGGGAATGACATTTAAATGCAGCAGTGACTCACTTTTTGTTGGTTTTCTTTGCTTTCACCCTCTTCTTCCTCGCCTGGAGTGCCAGCACTGCAACAACAAAAAAAAGAATAGAAAAACCATTGTCTGTTTGCCTTCTTGATTTCCAGCTGACACTCAAGACAAAACAAACGAAGCCATCTGAAATAAACAATTACCTGACTCCAACGTTCATATGCACCGTGTTGGGTCATGTTTGCACCTAACAGTATCTAAAATCAGTGTCAGTGCATGTGTCGATTTGCCAGAACCCATCCAACGTTAAGTTACATCACTGAGCTTCCCACCTAGGCAACGCTCGTCTCAAACACGGTAATGTGGCGTGAAGTGATTTCAGCCACTACAGCGGCTAATTATGGACTCATACATGAATGCACGGTTACCGTGGCCGGTGTTACGGGCTGTGTTTAAAATGGAAGGAGCTGGAGAGCTAAATGTATCGAGCTAATCCTGACATGTCCTATTGAAGCTAAAGCTAACGTCTAGAGGGCTAGCGCTCCAGCTCAGTGCGCGATAGACGCGTTCAATTAAACCACATATCACAATGTATGCTGCTCGGCGAAAAATAATGTTTTTATATTTGTCACTGCACGACAACATCGACTGTAACGGCAAACCGCACACACAATGTGTTACACCAGTCACACAGCGTGCAACGTGTCGCGTGAAGATTTACCTTTCCTCTCCATGTCGGCTGGATCCGTAGCTTAGCCGTTAGCTACACAGCCAGTGATCGAATGTTCCACGCATGCGCACTGGCTCGCTATGTCGAAGGGAAGCTTCCTTGGTGACGTCTCTGCCCGTGTATCAAACCGTTTTTATGGATTTGAGGGCAAACT